CAGTCGTGACGCGAGACTTCGATCCTCTGCTCTGGATAGGATCACCCAGGTCAAGATCACGACAGCATACATTGCGCTTACGCAGCTATACGAAGGCCATAAAACATACGACAGCAAGAATATACTCCCCTCCTGTGTTATTTTGCCGCGGCCACATCGTCCGAGAACCCGTGCTCCGATTCTGAGCCACCCAAAAAAAAAAAGAAGTTGAAAACCGTCACCATCTTGCTTAACATTTGACGACCATTACACCACGCACAACAAACCCGATACATACATACATACACACGCAGCAGTCGCAAGATCTATCAAAAAAAAGATGTCCTACTTTCGCGTCACGCTGCAAAGAAGCGCCATTGGACTTCCGGAGCGCACGCGCGGCGTGCTCGCGGCGCTGGGCCTGCGACGGCGCACGCAGACCGTGTTCCATCCGGCGGAGCCGCAGTTTGCGGGCATGATCTTCAAGGTCAAAGAGCTGGTGCGCGTGGCCGAGGTGGGCGAGCCGCTGAGCAAGAGGCAGGTGAGGGCGGAGCGCACGCCGGACGCGGGGTTCTACGTGGAGAGCAGGGCGGCGGAGCGTCGGCCGCAATAAGCAAGGATTCTTCGAGAGGGAGAGCTTGTTGGGGGATGGAGGAGGAATTGTATCATGGGTTGTTTGTTTTTGAGACTCAAACAGCCGTGTAAAATTATTACTGGCTTACTGTGGGAAGACGTGGATAGACATTGGTCGAGAAGACTGCTTGTAGCATAGAATCCCAACATACACCACAGCGTTTATTTTCTCGCGCTTGGACGAGTTATTCTGAGATGAATTCCGTATTCTGCTAGAATGCCACAATGAAGAATACTTGTACACTGGACAGCAGAACCATTCCCATGCTCCTAGAAAGATGTAAAAAAGACAAATAGCAGCTGGGAACACCGACCCCTTTCAGGCAAAACGTAAAATGCACCAAAAAAAAAAAAAAAAGACGAAGCAATCTGCTTCTCTCTCGCTGCTCGCTGTCGAGAAACACAAGCTAGACAATGACAAGGCGTGGACAAGACACCCAACAGCCCTTTAGAAGCTGCGCGCCTTATCAATGTACTCCTGTGACGGCGTTTCGTACTCGTTGACAAAGTAAATTTCGCAGTTGCGGCCGAGCCAGACGGTAAATTTGCCGATTTCCTCGCGCAAACGGGACACGGACTGCTGGTCCATGTTTGTTTGTGCCAGTAGCTCGGGGAGGGAGACTGTGCGTGGCTTCGAGTTAGTCTTCTTGATGAAGGGCACCTGAGAGGTTGTCGTGACTTACCGACGAGGCGAGCGAGGTGCTCGGCGCCGTATACGTCGCAGACATTCTTGTACTCTGCGTTTTCGTCGGGATTGTCCCACAGCTTGCGGATGTCCATGTACTGATGGCGTTCAAAGCTGTTTTTGGTGTCGGCCAATCGCGTCAGCAAGGATGACGGCATCTTCGAGGAGCAAAAGAAGAGGGCAATGGGGCTTACCGGTACAGCAGTATCCTGCTAAGAGACTTTTCGAAATACTCTCTAAAGCCGGCAATAATCTCGTCGAGAATGTCCATGCTGGCGGAACCCTCCTCGCGGTGCGGCCGCTCAAACGCGACATAGTCTTGGAATATCTTGGTGACGGGTTTGGCGTGCGGCAAAGGCACGAGCTGGTTGTTTTTTGTGATGTTTTCCCAGTCGTCAACCAGCATCGCCTGGATGTGGTCTGGCACGGGGATGTTAATCATGGGCTTGGCGTGGAACGCGTCCTCGGTCTCCAGCTCCCAGTCCTTACCGCGGCGGCCGCCGCCAGCACCGCGTCCCAGGCCCAAGCCCAAGCCGCCTCCTGCCGCCACAGAGCCTCCCCTCTCCTCGCTGCCGCGCCCTCCCGATGAGTCTGGGCCGGGACCACCGCGGAGGCCGCCTCTCTTACCGCCTGGCCCTCCGGGGCCGCCGCCGCCGGCTTGCTTGCTATTCTTTGCCATGCTTTGGCGTAGCTGCGCGTGCAGCTGTGCGGCGAGCTCGCGATTCTCGTCGTCAAACGGACGGATGCGATCGGCAAGCACCCAGTCGTCCCAGGTGGCCTTCCAGCCCTTGTAGTGTACCTTGTAGCGCCAACCGTCGCCCTGCTTCTCGGCAGGTTGTACGTCGGTGACCTTAGCCTCGTAGAGCATGTCCATGTGGAAACAGAGCACCTTTTCATCTTTGCTGAACTGCGACGGGGGTTGGCGGGCGGGCGCCATGGTGAGTCGAGCGTTTGCGCGTGTGTGTGTTTTGTGTCTGGGGGGTGTGTGTGTGTGGTTCGTGAGAGGTGAGAAGCTGCAGGTAGCCTCGTCTGTTGTTTTTTTGTCCTTCTCCTTCTTGATGTGTATATTAAATTAAAATGAATCGTGCGAGGTTAAAAGGAATAGAATTGTCGCACAAGAGTATAAAAGACCCGAATGCGCCCAATGTTGTTGGACGTAGTCTGTTGCCGGTCGTAATATGGGTGAGAGGTCGGACAAGATGTGCTTGCTGGCTCGCGTTAATTGCCAGCGATCCCGTTTGTCGCGACGCGAATTTTTGCTGGCCATTCATCATCCAGCCCCAGCGAGGTTGGACGGGCCATGATTGGCTAGGCAGTCCAGGTGCAGTTGCAGGGTGGATGCACCTTAACTGAGGGTAGGTAGCCATGGGGAGGGAGTGAGGGCCAAAAAAACTTGCCGCTCACTCATAATTGATGCTATGTTCTTGATCACAGCTACGCACTAGTAGAAACTAACAAAATATTCTAAAAAACATACAATAAGTATTTAATTATTTTAGAGTCTATTGCACTACGAAGTACGTCGCAACGAGTACGTGTTAATGGGTGTTGGTGTATATCACTGCTTTGCTGACTTCTGCGCTACCCCTGTGCAGTGAGAATGGTAAACATAGTAAACTCAAGCTTTGCCGACTTCGGCCGTCAATGTTCAGGTTCTTTCTTGGACATGAGAGGGTATAATTCAATCGGATGAATATTGATTTTGCTCATTGAAAGGCATGGACTCGATTCCTAGTCTCCAAGTTTGTGAAGCTCAATAGGTTGTCGATCTCCAAGACCATCGATGCTCCGCAGTTAGAATATCCTTTACAGGGAAGAGATTTGCAAGGGCGTGGCACATGGAAGTTGTCGGAGGGATATTGTTTCTTTATACGCCTTCTGATTGGTTACAAACCCTGCATAGTACCTTTGTAGGCTCCTCGTCCTACCTGCCGCAGACTGCCGCTAACAATACGTAGATATCTTCAAGGTTGCTTTACGTCGTCGGGCTGGTGACTTGAGCCCTGAAATCATCTGACGTTAGCGAAAGCCCCGGCGTTTGACTAGGCCGCATTGAAAGCTTGGGCACTGTGATAGGCCTGTTAGCGGCAGAGCTCACACCGAAATCTTGTTTAACGACTTTGAAGCGATATAGTTCGGGTCCTGAAAAGTCCGAGTCTGCAGCTACTACGAGAATGGGCGGGGTAGCCCGAGCTGAGTGCAAACCGTCGGGTAATAGGTTATGAACCAGACCGACAAGTAGCCATGAGCTAGGGTGAATTTATACTTCGGCAATTAAAGTGACTATAAATTATCAGGGATTCGCTTCGATCATGTCATGGCCCAAACTTTGTCTTCGTATAAGTCTTCGCGCGAGTTTTCCTAACATGAACATCCAAGGCATCTTTAAATACACCATTCTACTTGGATGGCTTCATGCCACTACTATCGGGGCTGTTCTGGATGGTGATCGCTTTCTATGGTACTCAGAACCTGCCTCTGACTGGGAGACGGGTGTTCTTGCCATTGGGAATGGTAGGATCGGCGCAGCAATATTTGGCAGCGGCAATGAAGTTATTACCTTGAATGAGGACAGTATCTGGTCAGGACCTCTTCAGAACCGCATGCCTACCAGAGGACTACAAGCATTACCGAAAATCCGTCAACAACTAGTCGAAGACAATATCACCGAAGCGACGAGCTCGATAATGAATGACATGATGCCCTCAGTGTCAAGAGAGCGTGTCTACAGCTATTTTGGCAATCTTCATCTTGACTTCGGCCACGAGCGCGGGATGACGAACTACGTGCGATGGCTGGACACTCGGCAAGGCAATGCCGGTATCTCGTATACGTACAACGGCATCAATTATACGTATGTGCACGCACGTACACTACACAGGCAGATCTAACTTGAGTTTCTTAGCCGTGAATACATTGCAAGCTTTCCAGCCGGCATTCTGGCGGCAAGATTCACCGCAAGCAAAGCAGGTGCATTGAGCTTCAACACGACTTTCACCCGAGAAAGCAACATATTAGCTAATTCGGCGTCTGCCACCACGAATGGAGGCTTATTGACTATGCGAGGCTCGAGTGGACAAAGTACAAAGAATGACCCGATTCTGTTTACTGGGAAGGGTCAATTTATCGCTGATAATGGTGTGTGACCTATGCTGGAAGCTCTTTTCGCGTCCCAAAATAAGCTGATGAAGTGCGCTCGAAGCTCACACCAGCGTTTCCGGTTCCACACTCTCAATAACCGGAGCAACTGAGGTAGACCTATTCTTTGACATTGAGACTAGTTACCGCCATCAGACGCAACAAAAGCTGGAAGCAGAAGTGGATCGCAAGCTAAAGGCTTCCATTGCGAAGGGATATACTGACATACGGGACGGTGCTATTGCTGACGCCACGGCCCTGTTGGGCCGTGCTTCCATCAATTTTGGCAAATCTCCCAATGGCGCTGCTAATCTCCCGACCGACAAGCGTATCAAAATGGCTCGGAAAGGCCTCGATGATACTCAGCTCGCTGTTCTTGCGTGGAACTACGGCCGCCACTTACTTGTCGCATCCTCCCGTCACAACGATGCAGATGTGAGCTTACCAGCCAACCTACTGGGCCTCTGGAACAACAGGACGACGTCTGCCTGGGGTGGCAAGTTTACCATCAATGTTAACCTTGAGATGAACTATTGGCCCGCTGGACAGACCAACATCATCGAAACTCAAGAGTCGATGTTCTCGCTTCTCAAAATTGCCAAACCCCGAGGCGAGGAGATGGCGCAGAAATTATATGGCTGTAATGGGACCGTATTTCACCACAATCTGGATCTCTGGGGAGACGCTGCGCCTTCTGACAATAACACATCTGCTACTATGTGGCCTATGGGAGCGGCTTGGACGGTGCAGCATATGATGGATCATTATCGCTTTACCGGCGACGCAGGCTTTCTCTTGCACACAGCTTATCCGTTCCTCACGGACGTGGCAAGCTTTTATAGGTGCTACGCCTTTGATTGGCAAGGATCAAAGGTAACAGGCCCTTCCGTTTCGCCCGAGAACTCTTTCATCGTACCAAAAAACGCCAGCGTCGCAGGCTCAAGGAAAGCGTACGACATAGCGCCTGAGATGGATAATCAGCTGATGCGAGATGTCATGGAGAGCCTGCTAGAGGCTGCTAAGGCACTCAACATTCCACAGACGGACGAGGACGTGAAGGAAGCGACGAAGTTTCTGCCCCTTATTCGAAGGCCTGCTATTGGGTCGTATGGGCAGATTCTCGAGTGGAGAAGCGAATACAAAGAAGCAGAACCAGGGCATAGGCATCTCTCACCTTTATACGGCCTGCACCCTTCTTTTCAGTTCTCACCACTTGTCAACGAGACTCTGAGCAGAGCTGCAAACGTACTCCTCAATCATCGCGTGGCTAACGGATCCGGTCACACAGGCTGGAGTCGGGCATGGTTGATCAATCAGTATGCGCGTCTCTTTTCCGGAGCCAAAGCATGGAAACATGTCGAAGCATGGTTCGCAAAGTATCCGACTTCCAACTTGTGGAATACCGATTCCGGACAAGGCTTTCAAATTGACGGCAACTTTGGCATCACAAGTGGGATAACGGAAATGATACTCCAAAGTCACGCAGGGATTGTTCACATATTGCCGGCTCTGCCTGCAGCTGCATTGCCTACTGGAAATGCTCGGGGTCTGCTCGCTCGAGGGGGGTTCGAGGTCGATATTGACTGGAAGGAAGGCACATTCCAAAAAGCTGCCATAAGACCACAGCGCGGCGGCCGATTGCAGCTTAGAGTCAGCGACGGGACAAGTTTCAAGGTGAATGGGGAGCTATACAAAGGACCAATTCAGGCCGTAAGTGGGAGAAGTTACACTCTCACCTTGGCATAGGTAGAGATCTGTCACGGGCTAGACCCCTGAAGATGGCTTGGGCGTACCTATGCCATTGTTGCATGACTGCATCGAAAGACGCCCGCCCGGGCTGTATGGCGGGTCAAAAACGTAATCTGACTCAAATGGATTTTTGCCTGGGTTTCACTGGCTCACACCACTTCAGTACCTGCATTCCTCATTGTATGAATCTATAAGCAGCCAGTACCTATCTGTGGGTATAGTGTGGCACTTGCGCGTACTGTTGAAGCCATGGCTGTAGAGACACAATTGCTGAGACGTACTGTCAGGCAGAGGTTAAGGATGTTGTATTGTGGAAGTGGATGCCCGCCAAGGGGTGCCTAGGTACCTAGGTAGGTACCTAAGGTAGGTATCTGGGTA